CTGGGAGCAGGGACCGGAGAGCGTGCAGGTCTTGGGACAGAACCAGGAGCCCAGGCTCTTCCAGGTGTGACCACCTGAGGCTGCGCCCACTGCCGTCCAGGGGTGCCCATCCAGGACTGCAGCTCGAAGTTGGAAACCCTGGGTTTGAGCTGTCCCTGCCCTGGGCCAGGTTTTGGGCCCATGACTCAGGCCTGGGAGCCTCCATGTCCCCATCTGAGGTCAGGAAACACAGGCCCCCACACACGGCCATGCTGGTCGGGGTGGAACAGGGACAGGGCCCAGGGCACAGCACGGCCCACCTAGGGAACCCCGTCATGCTGACAGCTCCAGCACAGCAGAGGTGTGTGGGGTCCACTGGGGCACCACACGTTCCAGAGCCTGGGCCAGGGCAGGGTGCTCGGCAGGCAGAGGTCAGCGGTCACATAGCAAAGGCCAGCTTCAGCAGCCAGTGCCCCTGTAAATAGTTCGTACTGACGCCTCCTGGAAGGTTCCGGGGCTTCAGGACCCCACAGACCAGGGGACTCTGAAGTCCGCGGAGCCTGCGCAGGACCAGCCTAGAGCAAGGCCCGGCACCCACTGGTTCTGTAGGGGACAGCTGGGGAGGGTCGTGGCCCGGTTTCCAAGGCCCTGGTTTCCTTGGGCAGGTGGACAGAGACGGGGGCTGCTGGGACTGTCACGCCCGCTCTCTCTGTCATGACCTCACGGCAGGACCATCAGGCTGTGGGCAACTTCAGATCCAGGAGCAGCCCTCCTCGGCTACCGTTTTGCTGGGTAACCTTCTACAGGTCACTCAGCCTCTCTGGCACTGACTTCTGGGCACAGGGAGGGTTGACAGGAGGGCAGAACACACAGGTAGCAAGTGGTCCCGGGGTCCTGGTGCCTGGTGCTGACCCTGAACAGCCGCCCAGTCAGCTCTGCCCCTGCAGAAAACCACCCTCCTGCCTCCCGCCAAGCACACGGCTCTCCCTGGCACTCTCATCAGGGTCTCCAAAAATACAAAGCTCACTCCTAAGCCCTGGGTGGGAACAAGACTGTCCCTCAGGGGGGCCCACAGGACCCCTCTTCACAGGGGTCTGAGTAATAGTCGCCCACCCTCTCCGCAGTGGGCCCCTGTCCTGCCTGGCACCTACTCCACCTCGGGGCGCAGGATCAATGCCCTGGGACCCCGGCTGCTTGCTGGCCCCAGGGCACAGGCACAGCCCAGGAGAAGGGACAGGACACGCGACACACCCACCTTTCCAGGAACGTGGCAGTAGACGGCGCCCCTAAATAGCCCCACAGAACCCTCTCTGCCTGAGGACATGGCAGCAGGGAAAGGGTTTGGCCAAACCCACCAGGTGGGTGGCAAGACAGTGACCAGGCGCGCCACCCAAGCACCCCCCCAGCTCTCACCACCCCACCCTAGCAGCAGTCAGTCCCACCAAGGGGGCCCTGCCGGGGGCGAAGGCAGCAGTTCACCAGCTTACGCCTCTTAGGGACTGAGATGACAGCAGCACGTGGGCCGGGCCAGAGCACCCAGGGCCCTGACGCTGGCTCGGGGCTGCATGGCCTCCTGCCAGTCCTCTCCCTGCAGGCTTCTCAGCACACGTGTGCTGATGGGCCAGCGGCTCCATCGCCTCACAGCTCAAGGCCCAGCTTTAAGACAGGGGTACCAGCACCTCACTCAAAAGATGGGTCTGGAAGAGCAGAGATAATGGATAGCTGGTGACCCCATGCCACCAGGAGGGAGCACACATGTCACAGCCATCCTGGCTGGGTGAAGGCTGACATCAGGCCAGAGGGCCTCGGGATGGCCCTGGTCCTGACCGCCAAGGCTCTGGGTCAGGGTGGCTGGCTGTGACCCTTAGGGGCACAGACATTTCACTCAGATTCCGTCTGACCTCCCTAAAATCCCAGAACGCTGGCCTCACTGCACAGATGAAGACACTGGGCTTAGAGAGGTTTGGCAGTGGGCTCCAGGCCATTGGCTGGAAGGAAGAACATGAGCCCAAGGCCCACGAGACCTATCCATGCACCACCCTTCCCCCTGAGTTGCCCTGGAAGGCACAGGCATGGCCCCCACTCTGCAGGGCAGACCCATCAAAACCAGGCTCACACCTGGGCTAGGGAGGCCGAGGGAGCAGGGGGCTGCCGACAACACACACCCAGGCCCAGTGTCCACACCCAAGCCTGGACTCTGCACCAGACTTTGCATCCACACCCAGGCCTGGCGTCTGCACACAGGCCTGGCATCTACACGCAGGCCCAGCATCTGGCCCACAGAGGCCCTGGGCACAGCCCCGGGTGGCTACAGCTGGGCACCCACCGCAGAAGTGTTGATTGTGGCTCAGGCAGTCTCCATCCCAGGCCATCTCCCTCAATGGCACTTTACCTTGGACATAGGGGTTCTCTGCGGGGCCATGCACATCCCAGGGAGAGCCCAGTGCCCCCAGCAGGCTCTCTAGAGACCGGTAGATCCCTGCCTGGAAACAGTGCTAAGTATAAAACTGTTTGTGTAGAGCCGCAGCGACCTGACCCTCCAGCTCCCCCAGAACTTCTCAGAGCTGCAGCAGACTGGCTTTTACTGGGGGGACGTCATCCTTTCAGGAGAGGATGTGGCTGCTAGAAAACCACTTTTCACCAGTGCTGCACCCCCCACCCCCACCACCCTTTGGAAAGGCCCTAGAGACACCACGTGGTTAAACTGGAAAGGGCCATTACTTGGAATCTGCCGGAAAAAAAGAGTAAATGATCCCATTTTACAGATGGGGAAGCCAAGACTTGGAAATGCCGGAGCACCTTGCCTGAGGTCCCACAGCCAGCAGCCCGGGCAAGGAGACAGTCTGGCCCCAGCGGTCTGCACCATGGCTGCTGCCCTCTGCAGCCCTTTCCACTGGCAGGCCCTGGAGTCTGTGGCAGACATCACTGCCAATCAAGTAGATATGGAGTGATAAGCGGGTGCCCTCTCCCCCTCCCAGGTGCTCTGTCAGGGTCCAGCTGACACTGTCCAGCTTGGTGGGTCCCAATTCACTGAGCAGATGCACAGACCAGAGACCCCACTTCAGGCACAGGTGCTGGTGAAATAGGCTGGCCAGGCCCAGAGCAGGCCATTCCCACATGGCCACCCATGCGAGCAGGTCCAGGGAGCTCACACTGGCTGTTGGCGATTTGGGGAGGAAATGCTGGCCCATCTCGTCCTCTGCCTCTGGGGACCCCACAGGTGAAATCCAAGAGCTGGGGCAGCCCTTGGGGACCGTCTAGCCTGGTGGCTTCCAAACGCACCTTAGCCGAGGAGCCCGTGGTACACCCAGGTCTCCCTTTGCAAAGCCTGATTAGGTAAAAGTAAAGGAGGCCCAGCAGGACGTCACCTAGCCTGAGAGAGGGACGGCACTGGTCACCTGAAGTGCTCCCCGAATGCAGGTCCTGGGGCCCTGACGCAGGCCCTCTGCCCCAGCAGCCCAGGACGGGACTAAGGGATCGGAACCTGTAAAGTTCCCAGGTGATTCCCACGCACCCCCGTGGGCACCTGGAATCACGGGTCAGCAGCAGTGGTGACCCATGTGTGGTGGTAGGACAGGCTCTCTAACAATGTCTCAGGGGAACCGCGATCCATGAGGGAGAGGGAGGTAGGTCTCCATGGGCTGAAGTGGGGGCTCCAGGGCCCCTTCTGCTCAGCCCCAGCCCCATCTCTGAGGCATTTCCCAGGAAAGCTGCCCACGCTGGCAGTGGGTGCGAGCATCTCTGAGCTGCGATGGCCGGTGCCTTCCTGCAGCTCCACACGCTGGCCGAGCTCTGCCTTCCACGGGCACCCAGAAGGTGGCTGCCCCTCCTCTCAGGATGGCCCTCAGATGTCAGAAGGCAGGACTCTGCATGTTCCCATAAGGCTTGGGTCATGGCTCACCAAAGCCCAAGTCCTTCCCTAGCTGGTCTCCGGGAGACACATATCTCAGGGCCCCTTCCTGCCAGCCACAAACATCCCTGCAGACAGCAGTAGAGGCTTCAGACTGACAGAAGCCGTGTCCATGCGGGCACACCCACCCGCCCCCGAGGAGCAGACAGGAGCCGACAGCAGGCGTGCCAGCTCTGTCCGAGGAACGACAGCCTGCCAGCGTCTGTCCCAGGCAGTGTGCGGGGTGGCCTGCCCCCTCCTGCTCACCTCAAACACTTCCTCATCCAGAATCCGGGTGCCGAACACGATGATGCCATTGACGTCTATCATGGGGTGGTCGCTGCGGTCAAGGAACTTGGTCGTCTTCTTCTTACAATCCAGGATCAAGGTGACATTTTTCTTGTGGATGCTGAGAGCGATTCTGTGCCACCTGCAAGAAACAGAAAGTCCAGGAGGGTGAAAGGGGGGTGTGTCTGCTGCAGACACAGGAAGAAGCCCTAGTCCTACACGTCATGGGTTGAGCAGCTCAGAGCTGAGCCCCTGCAGCCAGACTGCGGCTGGAGAGACTGCAGCCCCCGATGTCCCACTGCCAGACCCAGTCCTCCTCCAAGCCTCCGCCTTCTCATGGCTCAGAGGAGGTCCAGGGTCCGCACCCGTGAGCTCAACAGGAGGCCCCGCAAGCAGCTCTGAAAGCTTGTCAGCAGATCTTGGCAAGTCTGCTGCCTGCGTGTACCATCTGAACCCCCAACGGCAAACCGCAGAGGCTGGAGAAGACAGACTCTGATGGGAAACGGTGGAATCCACAGATCTACATGAAACGCTCAGTGACAAATACAGGAATCACACCCTGTGGGTCTTCAACAGTCACTGCACGTGGCCAGAGACATGTTAGCCATGAAAGAGGTGCCTTTCCAACTACAATAGAGAATTCTGCAAAGACTTGCCTTCCTTTCGGTAAATCATTCGCTCCCACTTCTAATGTGCCTGAATCCTTAAATCCTCTCTGGGACAAGTTGGGTGTGCACACACCTTCTCCTGCATCCCTTGAGATCAAGAGGCTAGCATTTGATGTACATTAGTGTAATTGGTTAAGGAGAAATGGAGGCCCAGGGAGCAGAAGGGGTCCCCCAAAGCCACAGGGGATGACCTGGGACCAGGACCCAGCTCTGAGGACTCCAAGCCCAGCATTCTCTGCCTGGTGCCCTCCTGGGCACATGTCGGCATCACCTGCTCTGACATCCCTATCCAGCCAGCTGGCTTTGGGTGGCCTTCCCTGACCCTCTAGCAACAGGCCTGCATTGCTGAGTGGAGCCCACTTACTTGCCATCTGACAGGTTGATGCCCCTGAACAGGGGGTAGTCCTCTGGCCCTGGTTTCCCTGTGTGGTCCTCGTACAGGAAGACCGGAGAGCGGCCCATCTCCAGGCCAATCTGCTGGATGCCCTGCTCATTGTAGATGGAGACCAGGAAGGCCTGGCTGCCTTTCTTGGCTTTCACAGTGGTCAGAATGGAGAAGTCCTCAGGGAATGCAGATGCTGGAACAGAGGACAGAGATGAGAAGGCGGTCAGGAAGGGCCCGACCAAGCCCAGCCACAGCTCTCTGCAAACAAAACAGCCTGAGGACCCGGCAACCTTTGCTGCACACCTGCCCCTTGGTCAAACTGTTCCTGCAGGCCTTCCTCATCAACACACAGCCAAGCCTCCTCGCTTTGAGGCTTAGTTCAAATGCCAAGGTGATTGGTCCTTCCAGCTGTGCGCCCTGGAGGCTGTCGTCTGGGCTCCTACAGCTGTGCGTACATCTGTGTATAAAGCCTCATCGGAACTCCCTAGACTGGGAGCTTCCTCTGGGCAGAGGCGGTGTCGGGTGTGTGCTTGTGCCACCGTCCCCACCCCCGTGCAGCACCTAACCCTGAGCCCAGCAGAGGTCTTCTACCCTGGAGGGAGGGAAGAGGGGAGAGGAGAGAGGAGAGAGGGGAGAGGAGGGAGGCGGCAGGTCACACTAGACAGGCACCTCTTGCCATTTCCTGGTTGGTGTGCAAAACAGAAAAAGTAGGAAGAAGTCAAAAGAGGGAAGGGGGAAAGATAGGGGAGGGAGGGAGAAGGAAGCCTCTGCGATGACGTGAGGGATGCTCCTCAGAGCACAGACCAAAAACAGTTTGGCCATTAAAAGCTAGACCCACGCTGGCCCTGCGCGGTGCACCCGGCGGCTCTGCATGCCCAGGTCTCCCGCAGGCGTGCCTTTCGCATCACAGCGACAGGAAACCTTGGCCCCTCCTCCCCGTGGATGTGGTGGTGAGGTCAGCACTTCTCACTTCCACACGCAATCTGCAATTCTGCTGAGAGCCTGGGGGCTGGTGGAAAGGGTGAGCAGATCAACGTACACTTGGAGTAGCCAGAAATGCTCGCCCCAAGCCAATGTGCCTCTCAGAACCAGCCGGAGGGAGCAGTGCCCAGGTAAGTGTCAGCGGGGACATGCCGTGGACGGCCAGAGGGCAGGTGGAAGCTGCCCCCACGCTCANCAAGGCCCCCAGCCTGGGGTCAACCACTGGGTCAGTGAGCTGGACACTGGTCTGTTCTGTGCACACCGTGACTGGCCTTCCCCAGGGGACAACTTAAGGCCCCGTTCTCCAGTATAGGGGCAGCTCCAGGTGGAATTATGACCAGGGTCAGCGCAGCCACCTGCCCAAGACTTGGGCTGCCCTGCCCCTTCTAATGGGAAGTCTTTGGAAAGAGGTCTGTTAAGGGTACTATAGTCACACTGTCTCCCCAAATAAAGGAGGGGACAGTGGGGGTCATGGCCTGCTGCCCCACACAGAAGGGAGGTGATCTGCTGTGTGGGTCCCAGCAGGAGGCCAGCAGTAGGACAAGGTGACAAGGCGCCGAGGTCTGACGTGACGCGCCTCAGAGCCCCCTGCCTGCCCGGGCACTGCCCACTTGTGCTCTGAGCCAGCAACTCACCTCAAAGGGCTACCTGACCTTCCCCACCCATGACCACTCCGTGCCACTCACAGCCAGCATCCTGTCTTAAATAATGAGAAGGACGGGACACAAGGGAGTGTGCTCCCTCCTGTGTGACACGTTGCCCAGGAGCTGAACCCCATCTCCCCAAGGCCATCAAGGTCCTGCTTCCCAATTTTTAAATCTCTGTGGTCACAGATTTTGTCAGCTCAGATAACCTGAAAACATAAATTAGATTTAACATTAATCTCTCCCCTGGCAAAATAACAATGGATTTACTGCCAGTTTAGAGCTGGTGCGCCCCAGTCCTGTGGGGAGCCAGAGGGTGCGCTCTTGATCGCCCAGTGTCTGGGCGGCCGAGAGAAATGAGTCAGCTGCCAGCACCTCTTAACTTATTTCTTGGAGAAGAGTCACAGTTGAGGGGTGGGCTCACTAAGAGCCCCAATGACTGACTTGCTTAGATTGTTTTGTCTTACTTGGGCTTAGGCCCCGGGCGCCAGAGCACCTTGGGAAGACAGTAGGGGTTTCACAAGTGTGTTTGCTATCAAACTGAATCCTACTTAAGCCAACAGTTATCAGACAGGATGTTCTGCTGGGCAGGATCTGATCTGGAGCCCCCGGCCCACTATGGAGGGAGGGCTGAAAGCGACGGGGCAGGGGAACATGGCCACATCCAGGCCCTGCCTCAGATTCTGAGCATAAAGCGCGTCACAGCAGCCCCGAGATTACCACAGGGAAGGGCAAATGGAGAGGACCCCACCCCGAGGCAGGAGAACAGAGGAAGGGGCTGGGTGGTTGCCAGCATGGCCGTGGGTGACGCTGCAGGTACTGGCTCAATGCGCACAGAAGCACCGCATCCCTGGGGCTGCAGCAGAAGGGAGCCTCCCAAAGTCAGGGTGGCCTGGGGGACACACTGGCCTCCTGCTCTCAAAGACAACCCGTGATGGCTTCTTCGAGGTCTGCCTTACCCTGCCACGAAGTCCTCCCACATGCAGAGGGTGGGGACGCCTGGAGAGCCCCCCAGGCAAGCAGTGCAACCTTCTCCAGTTTGTCTCCCCAGAGCATCACAGCCTTGGGTCCTGCCTACAGTCCGGTTTGTCCTTAGGGCCCAGTGGACATGGTGGCAGGGCTGCCCAGTACCAGCTGTCAGGAAAAGCCCAAGGCTTGGAGTCCAGCTCCTGGGCCCCACTGAGCTCAGAACGCAGGCGACGAGAAAGACGCCTTAGGATCGGGGAGGCTGCTGGTCCCTGTCTCACTCAGGGGTGCCGACGGCACTGAACTGCGCACCCTCACCTGCTGGGAAGGAAGCAGGGCCGCTGAGGAAACCCGGCCTGGGGCCCTGGCTTCCTAGACCCCCATCAAGGTGTCACCTTGTATCTGGCCTGAGCTGGGGGAAGGGGTGTGTACTTCCGCCTCAGCCACCATGCCCCCGCTCATGACCCGGACCCGCCCAGCCTGCAAAGGGGAGCCCGCATCCTCAGAAGCCAGGCGGCCTGCTTGGGAGGAGTTCAGAGGATTCTCTTGTTATAGAAAGAAGTCACCTGGACTTGGATTTCCCTTTGTACTAAGAGACATCTAGAAACATTTATGCTCAACTCAGGCCACCACGCCCCCAGGCCTGCTGCAGCCAGCTGACCCACACCCCCCTTCCTCTGCAGCCACCCTGCAGACAGGGCACCTGAAATGCAGCCAGACATGGCCGCTCCCTGGGAGGCGGGCATCAGAGCAAAAAGGACAGCCGGCAAGCTCAGTCCAAGGCTTCCAGGCGAGAAGGGAAGAGACACGCCTTGTAGTCTCATCAGATCCCAGGGACAGAGTCACTCTGCACTGATCTGTGAGCATGGCCTGGGACAGCTTCCGCTACCTCGACGCTTGGGGGTTGCAGAAGGGACCCCACGGAATTTCCTACTTAAATCATTCCCAAGCAACCTCAGTTGTACTTGGCATTTACGAGGTGATTGTCATGCATGCACCCATCCTACTACATAAACAAATTATGACCAGAGGCCCTGCAAGAGCTTGTAAATTCTGAGTGTCTTAATTGGTTACTAATTTGAGAGCTTAGGAAAATGTGAGCTTTACAAACATTCCCTTTCTTACTGTTCAGGAATTCAGACTAGAGCTCCAATAATCAGCCTGCATTCTAAGATCCTCTGATACTTCTTGCCATGAGATACTGCAAGGGGGACAGGATATAAGGACACCAGTTCCAGGGAGCTGGTTGTGCAGATGACCCTGAGTTGGGTGACAGGGATCAGATCAAACTGTCAGAGGATTTACTACAGATCACCCCCAAGGCAGGACACCTCGTGTCCACGGTGCGGCCCTTTAATGTGATAGCATTATACACGCGCTGTGCGCACCAGGTGTTAATTCTAGAGCCACAGTTCCCGTGGACTGGGCGGTCAGCTCCCTCAAGCCTTCCCCTCGATCCACCTATCAAGACAGGAATTCTGAACTGGGGTCATGGGGTGGAAAAGCAGGTAACTTCTGGACAAACATGGAAGTGAGCATTCAGGGGTCCTAAAAGACACGTTCACCCCAATTGCGTAAGAAATGCTCCTCTGGGTCTAGGGGGAGCTGAGCTCCTGTGGCCCTTATGGGAGCAAAGCAGGGCACCCTCACAGCGACCTCCGTCCGAAGGGACACACTGACCTTCTCAACCCTGGCTGCCCAAAGGCAGGCTCCTCCAGAGGCCTGGCAGGAACCCGGTGCCTGGAGGGTCTCACCAGAGCCAGGCAGCAGTCCTGAAAAGAGCCGACCCAGGCTCTCAGACTCAAAGCTTAAAAGCCCCCGTGGATGTAAGGGAAGGTCGGGAAGACAGGTGGGGGTGCCCAGAGCTGAGGGACAGAAATGCAGCCCCTACAGAGACAGTGGGACGCAGAGAACAGACACACCATCAGCTTGTCAAGAAACGGCCTGAGCCCAGCACCTCAATGTCGGGGTCACGTCCAGGTCACCCAGAAGATGACGCAGGGTCTTCTGCCAATTATAAAACGTCTCCCAAGGGGGCTCATGTACCCAAGGTCCCCAGTCCCATTCTGACCCAAATCGGAAACAGGAGCTCATCTAAGGCTGGGGGAGGCTACCCACTGTGACTATTGACCCATGTCCAGAGAACCTGAGGGTTTAGCTGACTTGGGGTTGGGGAGGGGGGTCGCATACACCCACGGCTGGGTGACAGGGACAACGTAGATGCTACATCTCGGCAGCCACGGCTGCTACCCACTCTGGGCCTATAATTAAAAGCAGGGACGCAGTCCTCGGCAATCAGTTCTCCTGAGCCTTCACCACCTTGCTGGGATCCATGATGTCTGAGGCATGTGGGTCTCAACATCATTGCCCCCAGTGAAGCTTCTGTCTGGAAGCACTTCCCTTCCCATGACCCTGGGGCTTCTCTTAACCTCATCACCTAAGGAAACACCCCCCACACACATCTTTTTGCATTTGGGGTCCTGGCAGCCAGTCCACAGCTGGAGACACACATGCCAGGAACACCAACAGGGACAGATGTGGCCCCGTGCACCCACCTTGGCTGGTGACAATGAGGTGGTGGGACTGTTTTCACTATAATGAGATCAAAACCAGCTCACTACAAAGGGGCTTCCCGGAAAACCAAGCGTGTTGCTCCCACCTCTCAGCTCCGGGCTCTGCCACAGAGGGAACCGTGCCCACACCCAGGGCCCACGCACGCCCCCTTACCAGGATACAGCTGCTTGGTGGGGGCACTGAGCTGGGCATCCTTGGTGACTCTGTAAGCCACGTCCGGGCCTTTGGACGATCGCCGTGTTGCACAAAAACCTGTCGTCTTGGTTATTCCATCAGGCAAGTTGTGGAAATCTAGAACCTTCAGGAGATCTGCTGGCTGAGCTGAAATGACAGAGGGAGGTGCGGGGTTAGCTGCAGAAGAAAGGCACAGCACACGGGCAGGCCACCTTCTCAGGAGCACCCTGGGGGGTCAGGTGAATTGGGGACCAACCAGAAGCAGCCCGGAAGCCTGAGCTGGGTGGAGGCTGGGTGTCCCACGTGGATGAAATGCACGTGCAGGTGGGTGGGTGGGACCACGTTGCTGCCCCCACCCCTGCAGGCGGCCACCGCGGGAGCAGATCCCGGCCTGTGCCCCTGAGGGCCTCGCCCCAGTTTGCACGTATGTGCCCCCTCAAGCCCAGCCGCAAGCGCAGTTCACCCGGCTTCCAGACACCCCGTCTCTTCAGTGTCATGGGAAGCCCACCCCAAACATTAGCCGGAAGGCTGTGCAAGACCCCACTGCCAATGGAAGGGACTTAGTGGGCGGTGGTGTAACGGGGCAGGGAAATCCGCTGTACAACTTCTGGAGCATTGGCACCTCCTGATCAGGGCATGTGCTGGCATACTGACCCCCGTCACTGTCCAATGAAAACCTAATTCTCCCATTAGAGTCTACAGAAATACCCAGTTTCCATTTGCCCCCAGAAGACCTATGCCTACAGGGCAAGATGGTGTAGAGCCAAGGGCCTGGGATGAGCAGGGCTCTGCATCCCTTCCAGAAAGTTCCTGACCCTCAGTCCAGGGGCTCCTCCAGGGAGAAAGGCAGCGCCTGAGGGCCGGGGAGAGCTGGCGTACTGACAGAGGCCATGGCACTTAGCAGAGAGCTCACCCGGCCCCCCGAACACACAAGACGGCCTCCTGTGCTCCCAGCTGCCCCTCACCTCAGGGCTGCGATGCCCACAGGCTAGGGATCCATGGCCTGCCCTCGACAGAGCCAGGTTCATGGGGAAAGTTCAGCTCATGTTCCTACAAACAAGAGGCCCCTGGGAGTCCAGGCAGAGAAAAGAAACTCACACTTGAGTCAAAGTGACAGGACAGGTGTGCAGCCAGGTGCTGCCAGCTGGTGTGGGTGGGCTGGCCACACCCCCCTCTGGGCACGTGAGCCCTCCCCCCAGTCAATCACTGCACACCACTGCCCTGTCCTCAGTGGTTACTGAGGAATAGGTGTGGAGGGGCAGGGCCAGCAGGTCTCCATCCTGGGGCTCTTTCCTTTGGGAAAGAGAAATCCTCTCTGCTCCTCGGCTCCACACACGGGCTATGACTTGAGAGCTACAGGTGGCCATCTGCTGGGGGTGAGAGCAATGCCTGTCTGAGAACATAGACAGACCCCGGCCACACAGTCTGGGCCCCTGGATCATGCTGTGCCTGAAGAAGGCTCATCAACATGAGCCAGTAAGTTTGTCCTTATGCTCATGCCTTTGATTTGGGTTAGATTCTGACACCTCCTACTGAAAAGTCAGTGCCTGGTGCCAGGTGCAACAGCAGGACAGACACAAGCTTGCCCCGGGGCTGCCAGGCCCTCCTGGACTCTGCAGTCTGCTGGCTCAGGGCCCCCCTCGGCAGAGGGTTATTACATGCCCGAGATTTGCTCAAGAGTAAAGTCCCACTTTCCTAAGAGATGGAGGGCTTGGAGGTGAACAAGAGGCACCATGCTGTATTCGCCTTTGCTGGCTTCTGAGGAACCCGCAGCCGCTGCCCTGGGGTTCAGCCCCTGCCAAGAGGCTCCCCAAGGACGGCTGTGTCCCTGGAGGGCCAGGAAAGGGGGCACAGCTGGCCAGCGGGGTCAGTGTGGGCACTGTGGACGGCACCCTAGGAGGAGGAGAGGGGCCCTGTGGTCCCCACCGTGATGAGCTGGGTGGAGGCTCCAAGGAGATGGGGACAGGAAGGCAGAGAGGCCGCCCTTCATCACGAAGCGCCTGCCCATCCACAGGTCACTGCCAAGGCACCGTTACCCAGATTCCAGAGTTCTGAGGTCCCGCTTCCAGTGGTGCCATTTCTGCCCCTGGTGTTGCTGCAGCCCTCTGCCACTTTAATCAAAGGACCAGAAACACGGGGATAAGGACTTCCCACCTCTGCATGGAAACCCTTAAGAGGGGCAGAGGAAGGGGCCGCGTGGGACCCAACCCAGGACCCTTGGGCCCCCCACATCCAGAGCTGCCACCTGCCGAGGCCTCTTTGACTTTCCTAGGTGGTTCTCGGCTCCTACCCAGAGCCAGTCCCCATAGAGCACGGCCAGTCCCTCAACGTCGGTGGCACCCCTCAAGTGCTCGGCATTGCGGCCCCTCCCACAGGTGCCCTTATCCCTTGTGGGACACTTGGCCACTTGACACCAGAAGCAGTGCCCCAGGCAGCCCCAGGCCTGGACTTGGCCGTGGGAACTGGCGACCTGGGCCAGCCGCTGGCTCACCTGCCGTGGTGACAGGGCACCGTCTCGTGGTGACATGAGCTCTGGCTCATCTCTGGGATTTGGTCCCAAGGCCAGCGGTGGCCAGGGCAGGGAGCAAAGATCCTGGCTGGGGTTTTCTGGACACAGACCCCAAGAGCCTGGGATGCTCTTTCCAGATGCGCAGGCATGCAAACCTGTTTTCCCCATCGCTGGTGGGCAGAGCTGATTTCCAGAAGCCCCCAGGACATGTTTATACACCTCAGCCGCAACAAGCTGAAAAGGCCGCCAGGCCACCCCAGGCCCCGTGCCACACCTCCTGCCGGCCAGGGGCTCCCTGTGCCAAAGCTAGAAAAACACTTTTAAGTTTTATAAAAGGTGAGGAAAGGGCCAAGAGGGATCTGGCAGGACAGGCCAGGGCAGGGCACACAGCCCTCCTGCTCCGACAGCAGATTCTTGAGAAACCAGGGTCTCAGTCAGGATGAGAGTGCTGCTAGGAGGCAGCTTTGGGGACAGGTGCCCACAGGTTCGAGGCCAGTGTCACCCCAACGAGGGAGGAAATGGTGGGACTTCCTCCCTGAGGCCAGTAAGAAAAGCGAGGGCAGCCCGAGCCCCTGGCCCAGGCCCGGGGCCTGCAGCCCGGCAAGTGTGATTTCCTGCATTCGATCTCCTCCCAGAGCAGCCGCCCCCTCTGCTCTGCCCTGTGCAGCGAGCCTGCCGGAGAAGCCACCCTGAGCGGGGAGGGGCCCAGCATGGGGCCCCCGGAACCACAGGAGGGTCCACCCCGAGTCAGGAGCCCCATGTGCAGCTTCGTGGAGCACATGTCTTCTGGAACATGCCCAAGGAAGGGCCCTGGCCCGTTCCCCTGCTGGCCAGACCTAAAGACACAGCTATGCCAGTGAGGCAGGGGCACCAGGTGTGACCCGCAGACCCGCAAGGGGATGGACGGCGGGGATGTCAGCTCTGAGGCAGGAAGGAGGCAGCCGAGGAAGGAATGGAAGTGTGTGGTTGAGTCCGGGCGCCCTGTGCCCGAAGGCAGCCTGAAGACCCCAGAAAGCAGCAGGAGGGTCACAGTGGTGACACACGGGAGGCCCCCAGACTGAGTGTGGGGCAGACAGACGGACGGATCAATGAGCAAAAGCACAAGGGAGGTAGAGGCACCAGGGACGAACTTTACAACTGGCTGGGCAAGCAGTCCAGGGTCCCAGCGGCCAGTGGTCACGCCTCCACACACTCCCAGAGGACCCAGCGCCCCTGACCCATCATGTCTGGAAGTCGGTGGTCCTGGGCCCCTCTAGACCCAGAAAAATGGAGCGCCACATCACCTGGGGGCCTGCCACCCCTCACTTCTCAGCTGCAGGACACAAGACATCAAAGCAGCCCCCCAGAACCACAGCTGGCACAGCAAGCCCAGGCCACTCACAGCCCGGCCACCAGCAGGCCAGTGTCACCCAGTGGGTGGGTCACACTAAAACTGAGCCAGTGAGCCCCAAGGCCGTGGCACACCGCCCTCCTGGGAGGATCCACCTGAGCAGACACAGGCACATAGGAACCCAGCCACGGCCCACACCGCTCCGCCTTCCTCCCTGGCCAGGATTTCTGCTGGGGCTGCCACGGGCACCTGGGACAGCACATGGAATGAGGAGCTGCCTTGAGCAAGAATTTAAGTTGGTTCCTGGGGGTCCACTGGCATCTGGACACCCCTCTTCAGTGCTAAGAGCAAGGGAAGGGATGCCAGACTTCCCTGGCTTGAGGGCCATCGCAGGCTCAGCACCCCTCCTTCAAAAAGGCCCCTCTGGGAAGAATGCTTCTCCACTGACAGTGCAAAGCCACAGAAGACAGCCTGCTTCGGGGGTGTGGAAGTGGGGAAGCAGTGACCCCTGCGAGCCACAGAGGGTGCATGTGGTCAGGATGGAATCGGAATGCTCCACTGGGCCCTGCTGCCCAGCGCCACCATGTCCTGCCAGCCCCAGGAACACTCAGGGCACCCTCGCTAAGTCTTGGCATTGTGCCTCATCTCCCCTGCCCACCCCAGCCATCAGAGCCTGGGGCTGGCAGGGGGGGACCCTCAAAGCAAAAGTGATTCAGGCAGAAAGACACCTATGTGCAGACACCCCTGGAGCTACTTCCAGGGCTAAATTATGCATCCCCAGGCCCGAGCAGAAACTGACGGAGAAGGGAGGCCACCAATCAGCAGCAGGACAGTGGCCGGGGTTTTGCCATCCGCCTGCCCAGAGCCCACACACACTGTGCACTCAAGCCATGTTTGTTGAATGACTGAGTGAGCAGACCCACAGCTCTCACGTATCCCGGAAGGGCAAGGCGGAGGGGAACGGCATCCTGGTACAGGCACAACGCAGAGACACGGGGGGATTGGTTCCAGACCACCACAATAAAGCAAGTCAAATAATTTTTTGGTTTCCCAGTGGGTATGAAAGTTATGATTATACTATAGTCTATGAAGTGTGTAATAGCACTGTGTCTGAAAAGAATGACGTATGTACTTTAAAAAGTTTGAAACACTGAGAGAATGACCAAAATGTGACAGAGACACAAGGTGAGCAGTGTTGGACTGATAGGCTTGCTCGACGCGGTGGCCACAGACCTTCGCTTCGTAGAAAACACATTACGGGCCAAGTACAGGGAAGTGAAATACAACAAATCACAGGCCTGTCCTGGG